TCGTGCTCTTCGAGTTCCCAGAACTCCATTCCACGGGCCGCATTTTGATGCTGATGCAGAGGCTGAGAATGGTGATGCTGATGCTGAGGCTGAGGCTGAGGCAGGCAGGCTGAGGCTGATGAGGCTGAGGCAGGCTGAGGCTGAGGCCGAGGCTGAAGGCAGGCTGAGGCAGACGCTGAGGCAGGCTGAGGCTGAGGCAGGCTGAGGCTGAGGCTGTGGCTGAGGCAGGCTGAGGCTGAGGCAGGCTGAGGCTGAGGCTGAGGCTGAAGGCAGACTGAGGCTGAGGCAGGCTGAGGCAGGCTGAGGGCTGAGGCTGAGGCTGCAGGCTGAGGCTGAGGCTGAGGCTGAGGCGGATGCAGGCTGATGCTGAGGCAGGCTGAGGCACAGAGGCTGAGGCTGAAGGCAGACTGAGGCTGAGGCTGAAGCAGGCTGAGGCTGAGGCTGAGGCAGGCTGAGGCTGAGGCTGAGGCAGGCTGATATTGAGGCAGGCTGAGGCTGTGACTGCGACTGCCGCTGCCACTGCGACTGTCATCGCGAATGCGACTGCGACTGCGAGAACAGCAGAACTCTACAACTGGATTCTCATCTGAATCTTAAGGGGAATGCTTCCATATATGCTTCTACACATCGCTGTTAGGTTGCTTTGCCGGGATAAATTTTATTAATACAGCTATTATTGTACAGCTATTATTGCTATGATGATGATCATGCTGCTGATGATGATGATGATGATGATGATGGTGGTGGTGGTGGTGGTGATGATGCTGATGATGGTAGTTGTAAGGTATGTGAGCCCCCAGGCACAACACAAAGTGATAATCGATTGCGTAAGCAAGTGAGCACAATTCTATGTAAACTTATGCCACATGATCTATTTACAGACGGAACAACACTTATCCACAGAACTCCTTTGCGCTCCTTGTGCACACGGCGTTGGGCCCTCCTGTTCGGGGCGGGTGGTCCAGTCGGCGTTGTGTGAGCTGACGGACCAGCGACTTTAGTTCATGTTTTTGCACCTCGAGCCTTCTACTAAAACTCAGCCCTTGCGTTGCCCGTCGTGCAGGGCGCGCCGAATGCGGTGCAATACTGGGTCGAAAACAGCTGTTTTTCCCAGACAGGATTAGTTAGCTTCAGGGGTTTACTCAGCGCTCGCATTCCGGAAAAGATGGGAAGCACGGCGCGCTACTGTACAACTTCAACAATGAAGCTCAAACGATACCAAAAGGTTTGGTTGACAGGCGCGTTGACAGGCGCGACCCTGATGACTATTCCACGAACTAAAGCTTTGAGATGGGTCAATGCTCCAGCTCTGCTTTGCAGCTCGAGCCGGAAATGTATATACGATTGTTCGATGAATGTAGGCCTAAAGCCAATCTGAATCATACGCATATGCCGAGCGACAAGCCATACCATGCTTATGCTGATGGGACACATGTGAACATCGCAGCGCCCCTAGCTTTTCGTTCGCATACTTGGGAGAGCAATATTGGAACCATTTTGGAAGCCCTTGAGGTTATGTCGGGGCTATCGTGGGGCCTTCTCGGGCCAGCCGAATCAGCAGTTCATGATGCTGCTGGTATTTGGCCTGTCTCTGGAAATCTTGGAACAAATCCTGGGGCCATCTTGGAGCCGCCTTGGACCCATCTTGGAGCCATCTTGGGTGATCTGGAAGCCAGCTGAAGCTAACTCGGAGTCATCGTGGGGCCGTTTTGGATCAGCCGAGTCAGCAGTATCTTCATACTGCTGGTCCTCGGCTTTTCGGAGGGCCAGCTTGGTCATCCTGGAGCCATGTTGTGCCCAGCTGGAGCCAGCCGAAGCAATCCTTGGAGCTATCGTGGGGCCATCCTAGACCATCCGAAACCGAAGGTTTATGATACTGTGGTCCTTGAACTTTCTTAAGGCCATAGGGGCACCCTTCATACTGCACATGCTTAAGCAGCGCGCATCACATGCGATGATGATGCTGATGACGACGACGATGACGATGATGATGGTACTGATGATGATGGTGATGATGACGACGACGACGACGATGATGAAAGTCGAGCACGTTGAACATATGTGGCTTGAGCTCGGTCTTCGGAGTGACGTAAGCCGCTTCCCGTCAAAAGTCGCTCGTTTCGAGACAGCTTGCCATATGATATTCGCTGCAATCGGTGATCGTTGATTCCTCTCGCTTCGCGGGGTGCACGTTCGGAGCACGTGCAGTCCAGCCGTTCTTGTGCCTCGTGGCAGCCTTGGGGGCCTCTTGGGAGCCTCTTGGGGTCCTCTTGGGGCCTCTTTGGGGCTTCTTTGGGGCTTCTTTGGGGCCTCTTGGGGCCTCCTGGGGACGTTTTGGGCCGTCGTGAGACGCTCTTACGCCGTCTGGCCCCTTCGGAGGCCATCTTGGAGGCCCCTCGCGGCCGCCTTGGGACTCTGTTGGGGTCCTCGTTGGCCGTCTTAGGGGCCTCTTGGACCGTCTTGGGGGCCTCTTTTGGCCGTCTTGGGGCCCTCTGAGGGC